GAACCTGTATATATGTTTAGAAGGGCTGGCAGCAGACCTGTCAAATAGGAACCTGTATATATGTTTAGAAGGGCTGGCAGCAGACCTGTCAAACAGAAACCTGTATATATGTTTAGAAGGGCTGGCAGCAGACCTGTCAAATAGGAACCTGTATATATGTTTAGAAGGGCTGGCAATAGACCTGTCAATCAGAAACCTGTATATATGTTTAGAAGAGCTGGCAATAGACCTGTCAATCAGAAACCTGTATATATGTTTAGAAGGGCTGGTAGCAGACCTGTATATATGTTTAGAAGGGCTGGTAGCAGACCTGCATATATGTTTAGAAGGGCTGGTAGCAGACCTGTCAAACAGAAACCTAATCCAAATCATCAGAGTTACAAGGGAAGACTGTTAATACATTTATGAGAAAAAGATCAACTGTTACTGAACTGATGCTACAAAGATTATTTGTTATTAGCTTATGGTACAACTCTATATTGATGCTACGAGGATGAACTGCCATGTTGTAAACTAAAATTACCAGCAAGAAGTAGTGCCTTTACGCAGAGAGTGTTCTGCATGAATGTAGCAGCATGGAGAGGAGTCCCGAAGTGACAATCCATAGCATCTAAACGAGCTCCAGCTTTTATAAGAAGTTGGACACATTCCAAGTCACCTGCAAGAAACAACCATTACACCTTATCTTTCTATATAATTGTCTAGTTTATTACAACTTACATAGTTAGACCTCCAAACCAAGTATTTTTTTGGCAATAATGTAATAACAGATTGACACCTTTCCATAAGTATACATATAATGGGGGGGGGGTGTTAATTGGATGCTCAAACATTAAATAAGTATACAAGACCTAAAATAAGAGCATACCACTGCACTGAACAATTCTACCACAAGATAAACTGACATGGCACATCTCATGTGCAGCTGGGTTGGAAAGTCACATTTTTAACTTCAAAACTGCACTAAGTTGAAAATTATTAATGTGACTGACCGTGCTAATCAATATATGAAATTTAAAAATCTCTTTAAAACAAAAAATGTGCTAACAGAAAGCATGCTAAATGGGAATGCCAGTATTTGTATATGAGGTGACAGGTCTGTTGCCAGTCCTTCTAAATATATATATATACATGTTTCTGATTGACAGGTCTATTGCCAGCCCTTCTAAACATATATACAGGTTTCCTGTTTGACAGGTCTGCTGCCAGCCCTTCTAAACATATATACAGGTTTGTGTTTGACAGGTCTGCTGCCAGCCCTTCTAAACATATATATTACTACTAGCCAGACATCTTCCCTTCAAATCATCAGAGCTACAAAGAAAGATTGCTCTGATGATTTGAAGGGGAAGATGTCTGGCTAGTAGTAACAGTCTTCCCTCGTAACTCTGATGATTTGAAGGGGAAGATGTCTGGCTAGTTGTAACAGTCTTCCCTCGTTACTCTGATGATTTGAAGGGGAAGATGTCTGGCTAGTAGTAACAGTTTTTCTTTGTAGCTCTGATGATTTGAATGGGAAGATGTCTGGCTAGTTTTAGCAGTCTTCCCTTGTAACTCTGATGATTTGAATGGGAAGATATCTGGCTAGTAGTAACAGTCTTTCCTTGTAACTCTGATTTGAAT